AGAAATCTATGTATATAGATAGAGATGTATGTGTAATAATAATTGTGTATTAGAGACCCCATGAGGGTCACTGTAATAACTAAAAAATCTATAGCTATATATGTATCCAGCTTCCTAAGCCATCTACATTTATCAAAATATGATTTCAGACAGTTCTATTCTAGTTTTCCTACCAGATCCCATTACTAATCAAAACGACTGTGTCTAGTTTCCACGGTTCAGCGAAGGTGACAATCTGTTGCGTCTGTCATGTTGTTTGTCTGCTCTTCAGTACCATTGGAGCTACCAACATCCAAACTGTCACAACCATTATTTCAAAACATTCATTCATTTACAAACTTTTCTTCATTTCCTATCGAAAACCGGTAAAAGAGAGTTATTTTGTTTTCACTTACTGTAAACGCAAACCGCGAGCCATTCGTTTACTATCCTTACCCAAGTACTTGTCCACCCAACGTCAATTGTCCACCTAACAAAGATTTTACAAAGCTTAGTAAGTTCTTCTTTTTTTTTTGCTACTATGTTAATTTCTGTAATCGAAATTGTTCATCAACAACTTACTTTTCCATGGAGTGATGAATGTTCCAGCCAACAAGTAGCATTGCAAAGTACATTGCTCCAGTAGCAAACACAAAATGAAAGAATCCATAACCATAAGGAATCGCGTCTTCTTCTTGATTCTCATCTTTCCTGAACTGTTAAGTCCAGTCACTGTTAGTCGACTTTCTCTATTTGAGTTTTGCAGCAAAACTAGCAGAGCTCATAGACGACAAACCTGGAAACATTGGGAATCTACTCCCGTGGAGAATGTCGCGATTACCATTGCAAGCAATGCAACCACAAAGCTCTGCACAATACATATACATGGAAAATCTGTTCAGTACTCTCTTTACAATCTCACAAAAATTTGAAAGTTCCACAAAAAAAATCTTGGAAAGGTCTAATAATTTTTTACAATGATGGTAAGCCAGTCCGTTCTGCTAGAAGATTCAGCTTTTCTGTTGCAAGTTTCTCCCACTGGCTCACTGCAAAACAAAATGTGGAGAGTTGAAAACAATTACTTCTTGAACGTATTGATAGAGACTACACTGGAATTGCTCGATACTCTGCTGATCGATATTGTACTGATTGTGGTAATAAAGATAGATAAAATGAAACATGCCTTCGAATGGCGCACCAGCAGATAAACACAATATAAAGCCCCATAAGTGCTGGAGTTAAGAATCCAGCATTCACCTGTTAGAATATAAGCAGAAGGAGCGGTTTTAAAAAATCCGCGTACACAAATGACAAAAGAATACTATATATGGAGAGAACACCGAAACCGGGAAAACGGAAAGTGACTCACTTTGGGGTGAAGAGAGATACTTGTCATGAGTTGGATGAGGAACAAAGTCCAAGTGATGAAAAATATGTTGAGAAGGCATGATGGATCAGGCACATACCATATGTACATCAAAATCACCCCTAATATGCATACAGTATACGCAGTAGTCGCTAGTAGCATCACATGGACATGGCTGCAACATAAAAGCTTCATCAGAAAACTTAATCATTTGGTATTATGTATCCCAATTATATCAGAAAGAGTCAGTCTCATGGGAATCTCACCATCTTTCTGCATCTTTTTGGGAATGGAAAAATTCATTAAGCCATCTAATGAAACTAATGACACTAATTAGTTGAATAAGGAGAAAGACTCTACAAAAAAACAAGAAAGAGAGAATATCGATAAGCTTCCGAGATAAAACCATCACAAATTTTCTGAAATAGGATTAAAAACCGTACCCTGCACCAAAATGGGCAATCTCCCCTGCAAAGTAAAAGCAAAGAAAGAGCCATTTTACGCGTTAATAGCGGAAAATCGATTTCAAAACAGTAAGCCGAAAGGATGATTAGCCTTAATTATACCGTAAAGTTGAATAATGGAAGAAGGCAACAAAAAAGGGAAAATGGTTAAGCCAGGCCACATGAGAAGCTTAGCTAACCACCATCCTGAATGCCATTTATCTCTCGATGAATTCGTCTTTGATGTGCCAACGGTTGAAAGAAACATAATGAAATAGAACAGCTAGGAGAAGAAAAAGTTAAAGGCAAAATGTATCTGAAGAAGATTTTTAAAACATGTAGCATGAGACATAGTTTATATATGAATGATCCAAATAAAAAGGATACAAAACATCCCAAGCTAACCCGTAAAACTCCTTCAGTCCCCAAACAGTTTCTCCCATTTTTACAATTCTTGAATTCTGCAAGAATGAAATAAACACAATCATCATTCAAATCTAACAAAATCATTGGAAAATTTTCACTACAATTTTAAAATAGCATACTTCTCATTTCTTTTGAAGCACCTCGGCCGTAATCGCGTACAGCCCAAGCCAGTAGATTTGCGAAGAGGAACATAAGACCGTACACATATCTAGCCATCCATGGATTGCAACCATTACGAAACTGGCTAAACCAAGAACCGTTCTTGATTGCTTCATAGCCATTTTTATCAATGCTTTTACCGGTCTCCATAGATCTTTAAACTTAGCAGATTCTCTCTTCTTCATGACATTGGAAGATCAGAAAATCTTCGGCAATCGATACCAAATCTCCCGGTCCCTTGGGAGATTATCGGTTAATTATACTTAAGACAGTATAAAACCAGACTAAACACAAGAAAGAGACTCCAAGAGCGTGTAGTTTGTCTTCCTTGAGGACAAAATAAAACCCTAAAACAAGAAACCATGAAAGTTACATCACTTGCACCGATTCGACGAATAGGAGCCATGAAAGCAAATTAATCATGGGAGAAGAGTCTTTTAAATCACACTGAATCCGTTTCTCAACAAAACAGAACATAACAAAGGTATACGTGTAGTGCAAGTAACATAACCCTAACAATAA